AATAATGTTAATGAAATGTGCTAGACTGTTTTCAGTATTGTAGTTAAACTAAAGCATCATGAATGACGATAAATGAATAAGCCAAGAGTTGAAATCACATCCCCAACATGTACTCTGTCTTCTTCTTCGGTAGCCAGTAAAGAATTTCCATACAGACGGTGCTAGTGGTAATTTGATTATTTATCCTACATGTTGAGTGTTGTCCAGTTGCTCTGCTCGTTGTCTGCTGAATGTCTTGCCAGCTAGGGATGTTCTGTTTGTTTTGCATCTGATCCCTCCCCCCGAAATACATAACTTACTTACTTTCTTAATCGCTCCTCATCTACCTTGGGGCGTAGGTGTTTACCAGACTTGTCTGTCAGCAGTTTTCTTTCTGGCTGTGTTCCATTCCAGTCCTCTGTCAGTCAAGGATTGTCAGATGATGTCCCCAAACAAGCATTCCCATGTTAATTCTTCTTCTTCTACTTCTTCTTAAAAAGGCAGTTGGTAGGTTGTGTTGCGGTGTACAGCTAGGTGGCAATATCTGCACCTTTTGGTCCAGCACATCCAATTTCAGTACAGCCCCTAAATAGTCACCTTTTACAACATGCTTGTTATTGGCCCAGTACATCTATCCTCCTCCCCCCAATAGGGCCCCGGAACATCCATGTTAATTTAACATATTGTACAATATTTGTGATCACAAGGTTGAATTTGATTTACAAAAGATTGAAATAGATTTGCAAAACGGTGAATTTTATTTGCAAAAGGGTGAAATTAATGTGCAAAATGATGAATTTGTTTACAAAAGGACACATTATGCCTGCCAATCCTCTAAATTAATAAAGTACTAGCATTAGAAAAATCGGTTCTCCTTGCAATAACGGTCGCTACTAGGATGGCGACGGCCGCTTAGTCGGAGTTCAGTCTCCTGGCTGCAGTGCAATTACGGAGTGGACAAGGCACGAATCACATAACAAATTGAGTTCAACATTAACCCTAACCCAAACCCTAACACTACCCCTAGCCCTAATTATGTAATTTGTTTCGTTCCCTCTTTTCCACTCCGTAATTGCACTGCAGCCAGGGGACTGAATTCCGATGAAGCGGCTGTCGCCATCCAACTAGCGACCGTTATTGCAGGGAGAGCCGAAAAATCAATTCTTCCATCAGCAGACGTGAAGATGAGCACACAGGATGAAGATTTCATGTTGGAAGATGAGGAAGACAACTCTGGACATCTTCAGCCTCCTTACAGCAGCTTGAGCTCTGCAATGGTTACATCTCCAACAACAGACACATTGGACTCAGTTGTTTTAGAGTCATCACCATTTGACGACTTTGGCAAGGTACCTGTTTTTTTTCCAGCGCTTGGTTATAATATTTTAGTCCTTAACTCATTAGGTATCAAGAAGATCACCTTACTTTAGTCACCTACAATTAAAAACTCTATCTGGCTTTGACAGTTGGTTTGTTACAGTAATAAAAATATGTATCAGAAGGGGTTAAAATAGGAACATTTTGGGGGTATAAGGAAATAGAATAACAACTTTTCTTGGGGGTCCCAGGACCCTTTTTTGGATGGAACAAAATTATACTGACTACCCCCCCCCCCCCCTCTTTACAAAACAAGCATGCCGTAAAAAGTGACCTATTAATATTAAGACTTTGGCAAAAATGTGATGTGTTTGGCCAAAAGGTATAGATATCACAGCCTAGGTGAAACAAAATTACCATTGACCATTTAAGGGCAAACACTGATTAACAATGAGTTAAGGCAGACATAGTTACCTCAGTGTGGTAGGTTAACATAACAACTGTCTGGGATTGAAAGAGTTAAGTTCTTAGTCTTTTTGTTTGTAACGATAACTTGTTTCCACACATGTGTAGCCATTCTTTTCTTTCTTGGTTGTTTGTAATAGTTTCTGAGCTAAGTTATTTTTATTATTGGAGATAGGCTTGGTATGTATCATTATGTTTGTGTGTGTTTCTCTTTTCTGCAACAGGATGGCGACACAGGTCTAGATGAAAGTGTTGATCTTGGCCCATCTGAACTTGCCGGAGGCATTGAAATAAACATTGGGAAGAGAGCAGGTTTTGATTTAGTCGATGCAGATGCACATGAAGCAGGAAAGAAAGCTTTAGCCGAAGATGGAGCGACAACCATTTCAATTTTTAAAGTGTGCAAATATTTGTTTATTATACTTTGTGTTTGTTATCTTTTTAAACAGGTCTTAGGTGGGTACTACTTACTGTTTATTCACTGAATTTTTTTTTTTTAGTGCAAACCTTCTGAGTCAATAGAAGTTTTTCCTGTGTATTCCAGAATGCCAATCAAAATAAAATGGAGGAAACATAGCTTACAGTTTATTTGAAAGGGACATTTGTAGTAATCTACGTAGTAATAATAGTAAAATAATAACAATAAACATAATATAATAAAAACAACATATCAAGGCAAAGCTTTTGGCCAAGAGAAACATCGGTGCAAGTCAAACTTTACGGGTCGATGAGTGAATTACAAAAGACAGTGAAGTTCATACTAGAGACAACATTGCAGATATAGATAATCTATTTCAAGCGAATGAAAGAAGAAGATAATATAACAATGATAATAAGAAATAAAACAACTGTTAACTGTCACCACTGTTTGTATTTACTACTTTTAAGGGTGGTATAGGCAGGGGTGGTGAGACTGAAGATTTAGGGCCTCATATTTTAAATAATACTATCGCCATGGACTGTTCGGTTAGGATGTTTATTTTTGTCCCCAGCAGAAAAAAAAAATTTGTCAACTTACTGAGGGTTGAACTCGAGTCACCAACAAAAGTTCTAATAAGAAAATATGCAAAGCTGCATGTTCTGTATCTGTACAAGAGAGACTCCTTCTTGTACTACTTTTGACAATTTCATAATGGTCATAACACAAGAAAATAGTTATAAGTAAACCTCTGCTTTGACCGGAAGTGCTGTACTACTGTTGAGTTGTAAATAGTTCTTCAAGAAAGCTGTGGGGGAAGTTGTATGTAAACTGCAAGCAGTGCACAGATGATTAAAAAAAGCAAGAACTAAGTGGTCCTATCTTCAGGAGAAGCCTCCAGTACATTAGCACACACTGCCAGCATGCAGCTCATCATACATAGGGTATACAGGCCATAGAAGGTCACAGATGAATATATCCATCATACCTATTAGATAAGAAGTTGGCAAGATGAATATATCCATCATATTGATGTAAGGGGTATATTCTAGTTCTGTATTATATGTGTATCTTAAAATGATACATGTATTTCTTTACTTCTGTTTTTGAATTGTTTTATGCCATTTGAAGATCACAAAGCCCTTTAACTATATTAATTGATTCAATCTTCTTTTCCAGGAAACAACCACAGATACGGAGCAGAGCCGGGAAGATAAAGCCAACATCAGCAGTTATTTTGCTGATTCCGGTGATGACTTTTTTGACTCTCTTGGAGCAGCAAAGGATGATAACCAGCTTGGAAATGACCTGTTTACATCAATTGCCATCTCTAAATCTGAAGAGGATATTTTTGCATCTGAGATGAATGCTATAGAGATAAAAGAATCAGATGTGATAGGAGTTGGAGCATCTCAAGATGGACTGAATAATGAAGGAATGCGCAGGATCAATTCCTTTATCCGGAAGAGTAATGAAGAAGAAAAGAGGGAGACACTGGATAATGTAGATCAGTTTGTAGAGATTGCAGCCGCTGCTACAGAATCATTATCTAAGGACTTGAAAGATCAGGGATTTGTCAACGAAAGCAGTGAGTTTACTGAGATTGAGCCAGAAAATGTTACTCGCATTCATCTTAGAGAGCATGCTGCTTCCATTTGTGAACCCGAAACTATTGCATTTGAAGGTAGAATAATATTTTGTGAATTTATAATTTTAATTGACTGTTATTTATGTATAAAACAATTACTAATAAACTTCATCTGTTATTAACGACTTGAATAGTGACAGTAGACTGTAAAGAAATCACCAGACTTCTGTATCCGCATTTTTGTGTGTGACTTTGTTTCATTCCAGTCATCTGTCAGTCAGGGACTGTCGTATGTTGTCTTGCCAGCAAACCCTGGGTCCCTCTGGTGGTCTGGTTCCCTTGTTCTTGGCCTCCCATGCCTGCCCTGGTGGCCAATTATCTCCCCTTCTGCATACATGTCCAAACCATCGTAACTTTGACTGATTCACTCGAGTTTGTAAGGCCTTGGTTTCCAAAATTCTGACAAATTTTCTTATTGCAAACTTAGTTCTTTTTTATCACTTGGACCACCTTTCTCAGATATCTCATTTCTGAGGCTTGAAGCTGGCTTCTGTGAGCTGTTGTCATTGCCCATGACTCACACCCATAGGTCAGGACTGGTACATAGGCAGAGCGGTAAACAGCCCTTTTTGTCCTTGTGCCACTTTCTTTTTTGCTGAGAAACCCTTGGTTTATGGCCTGGAAGAGTCTCCCAGCAGCTGCTAATATAGCTCCAAGTTATTTGAACTGGTTGACTTGCTCCAATGCGCACTGTCCCTTCGTGATTCAGTAATGCTTCTCCTCTCTTGAGATTACTATAATTTTAGTTTTGGAGATAACTGATGGTCATCCATCTCTTCTCAAGCTATTCCTTCCAGACAAGTAAATTGAATTGAAAATGTGCCTCTGATTTCAGAATGCAGCGCACATTTAAAATGAACACACACACACACAAATTCATTGATAGATGACTGTTTCACACAATTTGCCCTCTTCCTCTACGCAGTCTGTCTCCACATATGTAAGCAGATTTCATGTCTCAGACTTATTTTATGTCCATGTAACATACGCTTGCTACGATGTTGCAAATTATTCCTTATTTCATTAACAAGAGCTTTTTTCCTAGGCCGAATAATATTAATCGAGGTTCTACTGTATTACTAAACTATATGTGTTAATAATGACAAAACAAGTACACTGATGCATTGTTCATTGAGTGACCTGGCTAATAGATATTTTGGCTAGCAAAGTTATTTTTTTACTGTTTTTCTGTTGCGGCTAACGAATTTGGATTCAGCTAACAAATATTTTAGCGGATGTGCACACTAACATGTGGCTGCGATATGAGCTGAAATGCAATTCAACTAACAAATGTCTTCTTCTTCACATTACATTGCTGTTAACTGATGGAAGGTCCTGGTTGTTCGTCAACTCTTCAACTTTGCTCTTGACCGATTGAGAATTTGTGGTTTGCATGCACATCCATTTTACAGGGAGCTACGTCTCGAGTCATAGTGTCCGCCTCCAGTGCTAAAGGTTCCGGGTTCAATTCCCGATTAAGGGCTGGGATTTTTTCACGTGGACTCGGAATTCTAGTAATTCCCCCTGGTCTATGGGTTGTGTGATTGAACGCTCGTGTGCATTGTTGCGCACGTACAAAAATCCCTTGGCAGTTGGAAATCAAAAAGAGTAGCCTAACGGCGCTGCCAGGGCAAAATGTGGAGAAAAATCTACCCAAAGTATTTCAGGATCCTTGCCGGTGCTACAGAGCCTGTGCACTGTGCTGAGCTTCTTTGGACTCAGACTTGAGTTAGAAGAAGAAGGGAGCACTTATGGGTTACACCCGTGTGCCATGATGTTGATCCGTTGTTCAAAACCTCAAAACCATTTTACAGATCTGACTTATCTGTATGCAGACTGTATGCATTTTAGGCAGATGCTGTCTGACTTTGAAGGAAACACCTCTCATTAATTACCTCCTACGAGGTACTGGGTCTGTTCTTTGTTCTCCCAAATGCAGCCCCGGAACCCGCACAGGGAGCTTACAAATGTGTTTCTGGAATGAATTTTCTTCATTAGCTGAGTTACCACTTTAGTAATAACTTAACAACTGTTGAGTTGAGTTGAGTCAAGAATTTACATCACAGCACTTGGGGCATTCCCATGCGTGTTCCGTCCTCATCTTCAGCAGCCAGCGCAGAGTTCCAATACTGATGGTACCGATCACAATCTGGTTATATGTCCACCTTGCCTTTCCTCTGAGTGTAGTGAGCTGGCCAGACTCTCTGGTTACACCCAGGGGCCTTTTTCTCTCCAGATTCCGTTGTTTGTTCCCAAAGGGCTTACAACTGTTGATATTGATTAAAACAATTACCACCAACACAACAAATTTATTAGCCCTTTTAGTGAGGTGACATATATATATCCATCATGGCCAGTTGCTTTCTCGCTGGGTATGATGTATATATCATCCTCGACTTTCTGCAGGCAGTAGTATGATGAGTGACGTGCTTGTGGCTTGCATTGTTTTAGAGTTTTCTCAACTAGTAGGCGTACTTACTTCCTGACTTGACTAACAAATACAATTATTTTGATCAGTATGTCCTGCATGTATCCTAAATCACTTGAATTCATTTACAAATTTGAGCAGGTCCATTTTCTATATCTTATTATTATGGTGTTTTAACCATATCAAACGCTTACGGGGGATTGGAAAAAAATAATGGCAGAAGGCATGGTACCAGGAGAGAGGGGCAGAGGCTGACCAAAATCAAAGATGGGGACAGGATATAAGTGACTGCTTGGATATGAAAATACATGAGGCGGGAGAGCCAGCGAGAGACTGAGTTTCTTTTAAGCAGGCCATGAGGAGAGCAACGTTCTACAAAGGATCAGCTACATCAGTGTTTCCCAAACTGTTCTTAGTTGTGGGAGCCCTTTTTTATTTCAAATAAAATTTTTTGATGTCGCCACAACCTAAGTAAAACTATGACTGTTCGTATGTAAAAGATAAACCAAAAAAAAAAAAAAAAAAAAACTTGTTTATCTTTGAATATTGTGCGCGCCCCTATGAAGAGGTCGTGGCTTCCTGGGGATCTGCGGCGCTCGGTTTGGGAATCACTGAGCTTCATGATAATGATGATGATTTTTATAGCTAATGTATTTTAGTAAAACGTATTATGTTTTCCTGTTCTGGATTCTTGATTTCATTTTTGTTTTTCTGTATACATTGCATGTTACTCAGATTATAAAATCATGTAGGTCTCGTCACCTTTATATTTTAATGCCATATTTTTTTTTTAAACACATGATTGATTGTACAATATATTTTAGGGTCATTCCAGTAAGATTGTTGAACTGATGTGATCTCTCTATCTCTTCATTTCATTGTTGACACGTAAGGCATTCTCAAGTGATTTCCATTGCTGCCAGTCTGCTTTCATCTCTGCCCATGATTTCACATGTTGGTTTTAAATTCTTCATTCCTTGTAATCTGTTTTTCTCCGGGTTTTTAAAAATTATTTTTTGACATTTAATAACTGAAGATTTGAATCCAGAAGGGATTATGTGTCCCTGCCAATGCTGGCGATAATTACCTATAGATCACACAGATATTGATGCACAAAATAGGATGGTGCATGTTTTTAATACAAAGATTATGGCAATGTACCTGATAATAATAACCAAAATGTTCTTCCAGAGGAACCATTAGAGTCAAGTTAATAAAGGCAGACCAAAAAATTACACACAGAAGAAAATCAGAGAATGAGTTAAAATAGATTTGAAAGACATGGGGTGAATTGCTTGCAATGGCAAGGAATGGGGCAAGTGTGTGCGAGTTAGTTAAGGGCCTATGCTCTGTTGGGTGATAAAAGGCAAAAGAAAAAGAATTTTAGCAGTACTGACAATTTTTTTAAATGATTAACAAAATTAGAATTCTTCTTCTTATTCTTCTCTTTCACCTTGTACCTCAGGGAAGTGTCGGGGAGGGGGGGGGGGGGGGGGGGGGGGGGGGGGGGGGGGAGATGTGACTTTAGTTGATGAGCTCTGTCAAGAGCACTATTAAGATTGATGTTCATTTTTGTAAGGCTGTTATTTAAGCCATCACTCCATATTTTATGAGGTCTTTCCCTCGCTTTATACCTGTTGTAACGTTTCAGTGCAGCTCGCTGTGGCAGATAGTACCAGGGCATTCTTGTTAGGTGTCCAAACCACTGCATTTATTGTCCTTAATGACTTGTAAGACTGGCTTTATTCCTAGCATTCGTTTTATTTTGTGATTTTGTATTCTGTTTTTTCTTGAAACTCCTGCAGCTCTCCTAAGGCATTTCATCTCTGTCGTCACCATTTTTTGTTCATTAGAGGATGTGTGTCCACGTTTGACACTGATAGCATAGTGTTGGCCAAAAACTAGCTTGTTCTGATAAGATTCACTTTAGTGTCGGGGTATCTGCTTGTGTGTAAATTATAATTAAAAGGACTAAATTGTTAAAACACCACTTTTTTTTTAGCTTTTGGCTTTAAAATGGATTTACATTTTTTCCTATTTCTCTAGGAGAAGGGGAAAGAGGTGCTTCAGATCAAGCAGATTTACAGATTGCTGATATTGAAGAAGAGGAAATTGAAGAGTTCTCACAAAATGATGAAAGACCTGGCTTCTTATCTCAAGTTTCCCGAACATCAGAACATACGGACATGTCTACAGCCAGTGGTACAATTCAGTTAAGCCAGTCTCAGCAACTCCACCACCAGGTACCTGGTGTTTTGAGCCCTCCTGTAGATTCATCAGCAAGACTGCATGGTCCAGTTGTGGGAACAACACCTTCACAGCTGTCTCCTGTGGGCACTCCCATCCATCTGGGCGACGGTGATTGTCAAGATGTACCAGCATTAAGTCCGTCAATACCCCCTATTATTCCTCCAGCATTTGAAACTCAGTCGTCCATTTCTGGAAGTCCTTTTTGCCAGCCCAGTCAGGAGATGAAAAGTGGCTCAGTGTTTGCACCATTTGGAAGCACGGGGCCAGCTGATGATGCTTTTACCTCAATACTGAGTATGAGTGATGCTGACAGAAGGCATGATGCTTGGATACCCTCAGATGCCACCAGCCACATCCTGAAAACTATAGCAACCAGCCCTGCTGGTACTTACATCACACCCATTGAGCAGCTGAGCACACCTGGCGTGCTCACTTTCGAACCCCAGGTAAATATGTTCTCAGGCTTATTAGAATTGCATATATTGTTAGGTCTTCTTTAGTTTTATTTTTGTATTATAATTGTTGTGACATTGCCTGTTAGGGTTTTAGAATTGCAGCACTTTCTTATATATTATTGTTTCTTCTTTCTAGTGTTCACTGGCTGTAAAGTCCTGCAAAAATGTCTTGTTGCTCATCTACTTCTGGACCTGAGTTTTTAATGCACATCCATTTTACCGATCTGCTTTATTTATATGCAGACTGTTGGTTTATTGTCTCTCTGACACATGCACTCTGACTTTGAAGGAAACACCCCTAATTAGTCAGCCTTTACAACATGCTTGTTAGGGAAGCAGTGGGTCTATTCTTTTATTTTAATTTTTTTAACCCCTAAAATGGGTTCCCGAAATCCACATGGGAGCATTATTTTTGTGACTGCTGAATTCAGAATTTCAGCTCTTTTCTTAAAAATTGTTTGAAAGGGAAGGGTTTGATTTTATTACTCTTAAGTATGGCTTGATTTGTCTCCACAAAGTAGCTGGTCGCTCATGGAGAGCATTCCACAAAGAACAAAACTCTGGAGCTCTAGCAATGATCCTCAGGGATATCCAAAACACCTGGACTCACAGACTGAAATAAGGAGTCTGTAATCAAAACCCATGACCTTCAGGGTGCTTCTTCTTTTTCTTAGCTTTCATCGGCTGTAAACTCAGCGGACAAGTTCTGGTTGTTCATCCAGTTATGGCTTTTGGTCTTGTTCAGAACTTTAATTTTGCATGCACATCCATTTCACATATCTGCTTGTTTGCATGAAGACTGTTAGTTCTTTGCCTCTCCGGCAGATGCATGCTGACATTGAAGGAAACACCCCTAAGAGGACAGTGGGTTTATTCTGTTTTTTTCTCTCCCAACATGGAGCCCTGAAACCACACATGGACATGCTTCATTGGGGCAGAAGAGGACGAAGAGAAGATACTTCTAGATTCTATCATTGATAAGCTAGAGTTATTTTTCAAGTCATAATACTTCTAGAATTTGTCAGCGATGGCCTAGTGTTATTTTTTTTCCCTATCAATGATATTTTAAAAATCTGTCATTGATAGGCTAGTGTTATATGTCTCACTATATCGATGTCCTAGACCTGCAGGCTTCTCTATGCTATCTTCTGTGTGTGCAGCCCATAATGATTGGAAAGCTCAATATATGGATGTAAGATTAAGCAGACATGTGCATTACGTGGTGATTCCTTGGGTGAGCACAGGACCAGAGGGTCATATGTCAGCTCTGCATTTATGGAAGCCTTCTTCAATAGAGGGAAATGCCCATGATCGGCACCTGCTTTAACTTGAAGACTGATCTGTCTACTCACAGATGCCTTCGACAGGGTCTGCAGAGGCAAGACCTGTAGATAAGGGACAAAGAGAACACCACACAAATAAGGCCACAACATGTCCCTGTCCAAGGAAAGTATCCGGGAAGTTAACCGGTCAACAAATGCTCGATGAGGTCGAATGTGTCGGCTGAAAGGCGCAATTTTCGACCGCCGCTCTACTGTAAACAGGCAAAACACATTTATGTCACTCTGACCTATAGAAAGAAGAAGAAGATTTGTCTCACTAGGGTATTTCTAGAATCTGTCATTAATAGGCTAGTGTAATTTTCTGGTTATGTTACTTTTGGAATGTATCACTGAGAATTTCTGATGGATGTATATTTTCTTGTGGTCAGAGTGATCCTGTAAGAGAGCTGGTATTGCGATACATGGGGGAGCAGGAGGCAATCAAGCGGTCAGTGCTGACAGCCGACAGTGTGACTCAAGATATTGATGGCCTGAAGAAACTTATCGTAAGATGTTGCATTCATTTTATTTCATTGAAACATTCAATTGGAGATTGCAAGCAGAGCATGTCTTAGGATATTCCTCAGATTTTGCAAGTCAGAGAGAGGGAATCTGGCTCACTCCAGCATTTGTTTCTTTAAGAACAGGAAAACTATGGGACACTGGTAGTAATGTCAAGGGTGGTACTTTTTAGTGTTCACCGGCTGTAAGCTTCAGCAGAAAGTTCTGGTGGTTCATCCACTTCTGGACTCTGGTCTTGTTTCAGAACGTGAGTTTTTTGTGCACATCTGTTTATGCAGACTGTTGGTTCCTTGCCTCCCTTTGGCATATGCATTCTGACTTCAGAGGAAATACCCATAGTTAGTTGCCTTATTCTTTTCCACTTAAAAAATTGGGGCCCTGGAACCCACAGGGGAATCAATGGTACTGTTCTGTGTGGTACCCATCCCAGAACAGATGCATAGCAAACATTGATCACTGAATAAGAAGATGGAGAAATAATTGTTGAGTCCACTTGGTAAGGCACTGATGATAATCATAATGAATTTGAAAACTTACTTCTTGTGAAATTAGATTTTTGAGAAAGACTGTGAACAGAAAATGGAATAGATAATATGACAAATGAAGAGATAAGAAGACTTGTTGGAACAACACCTATTGTTATATTTATTATGAAACATAGACTGAAATGGTTTGGTCACCTGGTAACAGTTAATCCAACTATGCTGGTATCAGGAGCATACAACATGAAAATGGTAATACCAAGAGCTGATATTATAGAAGATGGATTGAGAGAATTACATATAGTCTGAGACTTCACAACATCACAGCCTACCAACAATCAGAGCCTACATGGCTATGCTACGCTTCATCTGTTCAACTGAATCCTAACGGTACAAAGCAAATATTTAAAAAAAAAGCAGTGATTCCCAAACTGTGCCGGGGAGCCGCAACCTCTTCACAGGGGCGCTGTGAAATACTGTAAAAGCATCATAATTAATTTAACCAAGATACGAATATTCATGCTTTTACTTAGGTTAGGGCGCCGTGGAACAATTTTAATTGAAAAAAGCGCCACAACCAAGAAAAGTTTGGGAAACACTGAACAAAAGAATAATAAGTTTGTATCATCAACTTCTTTTTATTTAAATAATTTCTTACTTATCTGCTGAGTGTCCTTCATTCATTTCCATACAGCTGTGTTGAATGTTGAATTAAGAATCAGAATCACAGCACTCAGGACATTCCCATAATTGCTCATCACTATCTTCAGCAGCAAGCACAAAGTTTCCAGTGTCAATGGCACCAGTAACAGTCAGATTGCAGAGCCGTCTTGCCTTTCCCTTGAGTGTTGGCCAGATCCCCTGGTCACTGCTTGCAGCATCATTCTCCTCAGACTGTGAAGATATGTTTGTGCCTTTGCACTGTTCACTTACTTCCAAAGGACCCTTAAAACATCTAGCTCATGCGTAAATTCACCACCAGATGGTGCAGAACCAGGCAGTCTATCTGTCTGTCTGTTTCCCAACACACTGAATGACCTGAAGAAAATATCCCAAGGATGCCAACAACCAGGGACCTCTGAAGTGATGCATGCCACTTGTTCCATACATCAACACTGGCTCAGTATAGCTCTTAAGAACTGTTTTCTCTCACCCCAACTGACAAAATCTTTAAAATGCAACTTTAGCTTGGACTATTCTACAAGCTTCCCCCTTATCCTGTTCAACCTTTTCATTAACGCTTTCATTTCCCTTATCAGGATTTATCAGGCAAGAATGGATTGCAACACTTAGCACTTCACGAATATCTTTGTGCCGGGTTATGCGGGTGTTCAAGGGAACAAGCGTGCAGACTATCTTGCAGACACTGCGGTTGCTATGGCTATGGACAGAAGTGATGTTATCAATGCCATGCGCTGCACTTACCGTACCGAGGAGCATGCCAAAGGACATGACTCCATATCCCTGTCTAGACTGATGGACATGGGGGTGCAGCCTGGAGCTGCAAGAAATGAACATTTTACTAAGGGGACAGGATGTTTCATTAACCAACACAGAACAGACGTCATCAGTCGTTTCACACTTGTGGAGCTTTTGAGGAGCAGCACCTATGGATTTGTCCGGAGTGCTGTGATGATAATCCTTTCTAATCACTAATCACTATTTCCCTTATCATTCTGTCTTGTCATCACTAAGAAATCATCTTCCTATTACATTTATATTTTACCTCACAGGAAGCTGGCTGCCTGCATGCAGCCATTGATTTGACCGGCGTTTTGCTTGAGCAGGTTGGCCAGGGCTATGGAAAATGTGGCCAGGTGATCGTGCACACGTTACATTCACTACAGCTGTGGTTTTGCCGCTTGGCTCTGATGGTCAAGTTGAGGATGTATGAGCAGGCTGAGGCAGAAATGAGGGCATTTCAGACTCTGGATACGCCGGACCTGTATTTCCAGTTCTATGCTAATACTTATCCTGGCCGTCGAGGTTTGTAGATTATTTTGGGTTGTTAGACATTTTGTGGTAGTGTGTTAACAGAAGTGAAACTGACAGAGTGGTTCAGTCATGGTTCAATCACAGACGTGAGGGAAAGTTAAGGCCATTGTGATGTGTATAAGGAGCTACTGGGTACCTCACCTTGGGTGCCAGTACTCTGTATTTGTAGATGTATGTTTGGGAATACCATTTGGCATACCAGTCTCTTATCAAACAGCCATCAAAACCGGCACAAGACGATTACCATTTTATGGACAGACCAGGGAAAGTCATTATTCTATGCCTTAGAACAGGGCTTAGTCAACCTAACAGTCACATGTATACAAAAGACTGTCTCAGATACAGCTTCTGTCCAAGAGAGAGACACTGCTAGAAGCCAGACTTTGCAGCCACTAAGTGAAATACAAAAGACAGTCAAGTTCATGCTAGAGACAGTATTGCAGATATAGATAATTTATTTTCAAGCAAAGAGAAGAAGAAGAAGAAGTAATAAAATGAAATAAATGATCAAGGATTAGTAAACATGAAAAATAAACAGATACGTTCAAAGGTATAAAAGTAGGAAACAAGTCAGCCATCTTCCTCTTTTGTATAACTTTTTGTCAGTTTTGTTGTCAATTATTAATAAACCTTCCAAATGTTTGCTTAAACACTAACGTGAATGATTGACAGTTGCATTCATGAGATTAAAATTAGGAAAGACAGTTTTTTTTCCTCTTTGAGATAAACTTTTGTCAGTTCTGGTTTCAAATAAACACCTCCAAATGTGTGTCCCCCCTAGGATCAATGGTGTCCTTTTCCATGCGGCTGCTGCATGCTGAGCTGCCGTTGTTGTGTGGCAGAAGTCAGGAAACCTTGGATAGACTCTACTACATGCTGGCTGTGTGCAACAGGGTTTGTATTTTCTGTTGCTATATTTTGATATTTTGTTAAGCATAAGAACATCAGTAGTGCAGTGTTTAGCATGGGTGACCCTTACTGAGACAGGATTTTTTAAGAGGGAAAAAAGACAACTTGTGATTACCAGGTTGTCCCCAACTTGAACTAATAGTGAGAAATACTTTCAAAGGTAAGAGCAGCTAGTGTGAAATTGATCACATAATCCATTGATTACTGATTGGTCTATAAAAATAACTTCTGCTTTGATATCAACTGAACCTGCAGCTTTCCCATCCTTTAGGAGGTTGGTAGTTGTTCTACTTGCCTTTTTGGCTGGTATCTCAAAGCTGATATGCAGCTCCATTTCCCAAAGCCAATAACTAATGCTTGTGCAGAGTCGAAGCAGTTAAATGGTATGCCAGAATCACTAATATAGAGCATTTTTGTTTAGATAACTAAACAGATTCCAGTGTGAATCAACAGACGGAGAAAAAAACACACATTGAGAAAACATGAGAACCTGGATGTAATTGAACGGGAACCCACAAGGTCAGAGGAATAAAGGCAGATTTAAAAAAAAACACATGGAGAAGGAACTTAGAGAATAAAGTGAAAAAAAATAAAACATGGCGTGAGCTGCATGTGTTAGCAAAGGATAGGACTACCTGGCAAGAGTAAGATGAGGGCCTGTGCTCCACTAGTTGATAAAGGGCAGAAGAAGAAGAAGAAAAAACAAGACCTTTAGAGCTGAATTTCCTGTTTTTACTTGTTGAATTTATTGAGGTAATGATCTTCTTTGGGATTCCTTAGTGCTTCGTCAGTTTAAAACAAAGATGCCCTGTCATAGCATGCCATAGGCCTTTTTAAAATCCGCACATCTAGTATAAAGTGGTGATTTAATTTCAGTGCTATGCTAATAATACAGTAGAACCTCGGGTACTAATCACAAGAGTCACTACATCTTGTTCACGCCCAAGATTTCGTGCTGGCTACCATTCATGTTGTGCCAGTTCCCATCGGTTGTCCTATGTTGTGGGGGCGTTACGACATGGCTTCCTTTACCATGTGTACACACCGTATCGAAAAGCGGCTGCCGTAGATTTGTTTTGGTAACTCTGTTGTCTGTAAACGAATGGTCTCAGGTGCCAAAAACCCCTGCGTACGAGGAAGAAGTACAGCAGAGGGAAGCGCTGTTGCTACCTTTCGTGAGTATCGAATCATTGATGTTTCTGTATTATTATGCTCTTTGGCAGTGGCTGTCATTGCTGGGGGATCTGCTTGAAATGGTCAAAACAAGGAACACATGACACCCCTAGACTATTGGAGTGTCCTGGGGAATCCTCTATGAAGTCACATGGCCAACGAAATGGAGTGACTTTCACGATTTGAACCCCACCTTGATTATCCAGCTCGTGATTATCTGGATTCCGTATGGATTCCATATTATTCAGTCTAATTTCTATTTTTTTTAAAACCCATTAAATTGTGACTCACCTCAGGCTGACCTTTTTCCCTTTTGTATAATTACTTATCAATTAACAGTTTAAAAAAAAAGGTTGAGATAATTTTGTAAGTAAACCTACATTTTACATTAGTGTCTTGTTCATTTCAAATGTGTGTGTGTATTCTTACTTATTTTGCATGCAGTTAAGTTAGACATTATGAATTAATTTTATAAAAAATATATTTAATTTTTGGGGCTTCTTTTTTTCCATAATAAATGTCAATAATGTACACTACAAAACAAGAATTATTTATAAAGTATTGGCCCATGCTAAGAGGTCAGAGAATATTCATTGGTATGAAAGGATGCTTTTCATGATAAATGTGGGGTAGAAACTGAGTATTTATTGAACTCCGGCATATCCAGATTTTTTGTTATCCATCTTACCCTTCCATCTCATTGCAGAGCTTCTATGTCTTTAGTGATTTTTCTAACTTTCACTTACATATATTATTGGGATAACATTAGAATTGAAAATGCATTACTTGATAATATAACATCTTCCACTATAATTTTTGCCCTCCTTCAGACACCCCATTTCTTTGACTGCTTTATGATATATATAACGTTCTTTGACAGTCTGCAGGAAAATAACTAATACATCAAATATTATTATGTCTTTAATGATTTTCCAACTTTCACTAACATATGTTACTGAGATAACATTATAATTGACAATAGGTAACTTGATAATATAGCATCCTTCCTGTATAATTTTGCCCTCCTTTAGACCTTTTCCTTGACTGCTTTACAATTGATCTTTTAACAGTCAGCAGGAATTTATTAATAGATGCAGTATCATCAGGAATTTAATGATTTTCCAACTTTCACTAACATATGTTACTTACTTAGATAACGTGATAAATGAAAATACGTAACTTGATAATATAATATCTTACCTCTATAATTTTTGCCTTTCATCAGACCCCAGTTTCTTTGGCCGCTTTATCAAATGTCCTTCTTTAACAGTCTAGAGGAATTTATTAATAGATCCAGTATCTTCATCATGTGCTCTGCATTAATGTCTCTCAATGACACTCTGGATCATTGCTGTCGAGAGTGTTCCTCTATGCCAGCGGTTCTCAAACTTTTTTTGCCGTGGCACCCTTGTCGGGCTAAAATATTTTCGCAGCACAGCTACCCTTCAAGGAATTGATTACTTAGGACAAAAAGAAAAGAGAGTCCAAATTTAATGTTTAATTGTCTTTAAAGTGATGAACGAAACTGTTTGGATGATTTTTTCATTACTGCCGTGGCACCCTTGGTATATGCTCACGGCACCCCAGGGTTCCGTGGCACCCAGTTTGAGAACCGCTGCTCTATGCTGCTATTTGTAGACCACCTAGCATAATTTCTGTTGGTGTGCCTCTGCTAACACGTTGCCTGTTTACTTGTCATCAAAGAAGCACTGTTGTCTTTTATTTATAGCTGCCTAAAATTTGTAATGAAGTATATAATGAACTGAAATGTTCCTCACTTCGCAGATAAAATTGAATCTGTCATCAGATCTTAGCGAAGATGGCAGTGCCACTCACATGACATATGAGGCAAGGAAAGGTAAGGGAATTAAAAAACAGACATTCTGTTATCATTTTAAGCATTTAGAATATTAAGTTTTCCCATGTGGGTTATGCAGTCCTTTTGGGATGTGGAAAAGGGAGAGGGGGAGAGGGGAGAGAAAACCAATACCCCTTAACAAACACTTTGTAAAAAGTGATTAATTAAGGGTTTCTTGATATCGGATGTGTTGGGCCTAGCTGTAAACCAAAATACAGTGTGCCAGCCACCTTTTAAGGGCCAATGCAGAAGAATAAGATTAATATTGAGTCTAGGATAATAACATATTACAATTATGGCTCCATTAAGAAAGAAATACTGGGCCAGTGAGTCAACACCATACTCAGAGTTGTATGGAACTAAAAGGTAACTCCTGAAAACAGTCCGTTTTATCACAGTAACTTGTCTGTCGGTGTAAATCCTAGAACAGTCACAAGAAGAATTACAATTACGGCTTTAAAAAAATAATTCACTATTGTCTGAAGACTTTTCTCTGATCATGTGACTTCATTGTGTCTCAACAGTTCTTTTCAGCACACTGCATGTATAATGTCTGTCTGGTATAACTGTATCCTTATTCCCTTCCCAACCCCGTCTTATTTTGTTTTCTAATTTTTAGTATTAGACAGTAAAATATAGATCCCTTTTCACACCTTTAGGCATATCGGGAATATGGGAAGAGCGCCCATATTTTGACAGACCATCAGCACTAGGTGTATAATGTGGTCAGCATTACGCCAGCCTTTTTTACTTCTCCAGGACGGCCATCCTGGTACCCATTTTGGGCAGGGTAAACCTGCAACGCCCAATACCATGATAAAAATCCATGCAGCCAGCAGTAGGTTTCGATCACGGTATGTTGGAATTACGAGTCGGACTTGCAACGCCTAAGCCGAGGACGCCGCCTAATATTTAGTAAACCTCCAGGTAATCGCAGTTGCAGCTTCACAGCAAATGGGTCACCCCACAGTTGCTCTGTTCCAGTGCCAGCAAAAAAACCAAACAGAATGTCCATCATTGTCCCTTGTAGAAACATTGTCACAGACAGCAGTCTCAGCAAATCCAGTAGCATAAATACACATTACACGTATGCATTCTTAGTGACTCAATGAATGTGCTTAAAAAAATCCAAGCTGGATTTGTCAGGCAAGAATGGATTGCAACACTAAGTACTTCACGAATAGCTGCCCTAACCTTCTTTTTTGTGCCAGGTCATGCGGGTGTTCAAGGGACAGTACTGGACAGAAGTGATGTTTTCAATCTCATGCACTGCACTTACCGTACCGAGGAGCATGCCAAAGGACATAACTCTGTATTCCTGTCTAGATTGATGGACATGGGGGTGCAGCCTGGAGCTTCTAGAAATGAATATTTCACTAAGGGGACTAGTAATTAACCAACACAGAACAGGCCTCATCAGTCATTTTACACTTGTGTAGCTTTTGAGGAGGAGATCAGAGCACCTATAGATCTGTCCGGAGTGCGGTGATGATAATCATTTCTAATCACTAATCACATACACATTAAATGCATAAGGCAGCTGAGGAGATCTCAATGTTTCATGGATTGGTGTTTAAAAAATCATATTCATTGCACACATTTATCACAGGTTCTCAGCCTCCTCCTGTAGATCATACAAGGGGACACTCAGTACAGTACATGAATGCATGAATTCCATTGCAACGTTAAGGTTACAAATTCCGGAAGCACACATATTAAATATAGTTCCTTCAGAGTCAGAGTGTTCTGCCTGAGAGGTAAGGAACCAACAGTTGGGCACTCTTCCGAATACCGGTCCCAAATTATTCACCGTTAAAAAATCCTATTCAGGGCCTCAAGAGGTCATTTTTTAACCCTTAACAGGGCGGTTGGCACATTGTGTTGTGGTTTACAGCTTGGCTGCGAAATATGCGCCTTTCGCTTGTTATTGTGGTTCACAGCTAGGCTGCGATAGCGGCGGCGAGATGCTCAATGACAATTTCACGGGTAGGTAAACTTCGTTCTTTTCGTTCGCCCTTGAAAGAATGGTTCTCACGTTGTGTTGTGGTTTACAGCTAGGCTGCGATATCTGCGCCCTTTGCCTCAAAGCATCCGATTTCAGCAGTCCTAATTAGTCGCCTTTTACAACTTTTATGTGACAGTGAATCTATTTTTTCTTTCCACTAAAATATTTGGCCCTGGACCCCCGCAAGGGCAGTAATGGGTAATGTAAACAATGGATCAAAAATCATTCACGTCGCTTAAATGGATCGAACTCTATTCCTCCCCAAGCCGCTTAAACAATGGGTCTAAATCTATTCTTTTCCACGTCGCTTCAATGGATTAAAAACGATTCCTCCCCACGGCGCTTAACTTAACGTCTAAACATTGTTATCCAGCGAGCAATAACGGCACAAGTGGAAAGTGATCATGATGGCCTAAACGGTTTTACTACATAACTTCCTGAGGGATGTTTTTCGGCAGTGAATAATTTGGGACCGGTATTCGGAAGAGTGCCCAACAGTTGCATACTAATAAACCTTATCTGGAAAAAGGATGTGCATGAATGACTCACATTCTGGAGCAAGATCAGAGTCCAGAATTGGATGAACAGCCAGAACTTTCCACCAGAGTTTACATCTGATGGAATGCTAAAAAGAAAAGGAAAATAAATACACTTTATTTTATGTGTGCATAGCTTCTGTAATTTGATATTTTTACCAGGTAACAGCCATTTCTGTCTACTGTTTTTCATTTCCAGCCAGGCAGATACTGTATTATTAAGCCATGCAACCCCCTTGATTTAACCAATTCTTCTTCATCTGCTTTCCTCGTCTAATGGAACTTTGGCTTTCAACCAACTTGTACTATCCTTTCGTATCACATGCAGCTCATCCCATTTCATGTCATGTCCATTTTTTTTTCCACGTGATTCTCTAGTTGCCTTCTCTGTGTGTTTTTGATCTGTTTTTCCCCCCATCATTTTCTTCTTCTTCAGCTATCATTGGTCATGCACATAATCAACTGGGATGTCATCGCAAGTTTTCTTAGGTTTCCCCCAAGCTTAGTTGTCAGGTCTACTGGGTGTTGCCACATGTTGCTCCACCAAGACATGTTCTGGAGTCTGTTCAGCATGAAGACACTGGCAGCGAGCTCATTTATACCTCATTTATATGAGTTTCTGAGTGTTTGTTGAGTCTGCAGTGTTCAGTGTGTAAGCAAAAAACTGTGACTTGGTCTGTTCTGTTAGCAAAGTCATATCTCAGAGAAGCTGCAGAAAAGAAGCACCTCCTGCTTGAAGCCCTGGGTAGAGCTAAGGGTCATAGACTGAAAGGAGCAAGGTCTTAGATGGCGCAAGCTGAAGACACAATTGGACATGTGTGCAGGCTGGATTCACTAGAGTTTCTGTAGTCCTGTCCTACAGCTTTACATTAATAATTCTATCATACCCGGTTAAGTTCCTATATATGGTGCAGGCAAGAATTAATGAATGTTTGAAGTATATTAATTATTGTTTAAGTTGCTCTCTATGTTTCAGCTACACACACCAATACTGATTTAACAGCAGAGCTAACTGTTTTAAGTTTGGATTGGTTTTAATTTTCTGACTTTTTTATTGAATTATTTACTCCTCTTTGCTTCTCTGGAAAGTGTAATTTAATCTATGGATTATTAATTTTAATTTACTTTTTAAAACTGCTCAGACATTTTTTTCTTTTCTGGACAGTGTCTCTAGAGCTCTGGAGTAAGAGAGAAACTGATATCATGTACAAAATAGGGTCCACCATGCTCAGTGTGAAAGTAAGTACGTTTCTTTTCAATTGTCTTAATTGTGTGGATCACAAGTGTAGATGTTTGGAGTGTTCCAAGTGCTGTACAATGTTCTTAATTGTGTGGATCACAAGTATAGATGTTTGGGAGTGTCCAATGTGCTGTACAATGTTCTTAATTGTGTGGATACAAGTGTAGATGTTTGGGAGAGTCCAGAGCACTGCACAATGTTCTTAATTGTGTGAATCACAAGTGTAGATGTTTGGGAGTGTCCAAGTGCTGTACAATGTTCTTAATTGTGTGGATCACAAGTGTGGATGTTTGGGAGTGTCCCAAGTGCTGTACAATGTTCTTAATTGTGTGGATCACAAGTGTAGATGTTTGGAGTGTTCCAAGTGCTGTACAATGTTCTTAATTGTGTGGATCACAATTGTAGATGTTTGGGAGTGTCCAGAGCACTGTACAATGTTCTTAATTGTGTGGATCACAAGTGTGGATGTTTGGGAGTGTCCAATATGCTGTACAATGTTCTTAATTGTGTGGATACAAGTGTATATGTTTCGGAGTGTCCAGAGCACTGCACAATGTTCTTAATTGTATGGATCACAAGTGTAGATCTTTGGGAGTGTCCAGAGCACTGTACAATGTTCTTAATTGTGTAGTTCACAAGTGTAGATCTTTGGGAGTGTCCAAGTGCTGTACAATGTTTTTAATTGTGTGGATCACAAGTGTAGATGTTTGGGGGTGTCCTGAGTGCTGTACAATGCTTTTAATTGTGTGAATCACAAGTGTAGATGTTTGGGAGTGTCCAGAGCACTGTACAATGTTCTTAATTGTGTGGATCACAAGTGTAGATCTTTGGGAGTGTCCAAGTGCTGTACAATGTTCTTAATTGTGTGGATCACAAATGTGGATGTTTAGGAGTGTCCAGAGCACTGTACAATGTTCTTAATTGTGTGGATCACAATTGTAGTTGTTTGGTAGTGTTCTGAGTGCTGTACAATGTTCTTAACTGTGTGGATCACAAGTGTAGATGTTTGGGAGTGTCCCAAGTGCTGTACAATGTTCTTAATTGTGTGGATCACAATTGTAGATGTTTGGGAGTGTCCAGAGCACTGTACAATGTTCTTAATTGTGTGGATCACAATTGTAGATGTTTGGGAGTGTCCAAGTGCTGTACAATGTTCTTAATTTTGTGGATCACAAGTGTTGATGTTTGGAAGTGTCCAGAGTGCTGTACAATGTTCTTAATTGTGTGGATCACAAGTGTAGATGTTTGGGAGTGTCCCAAGTGCTGTACAATGTTCTTAATTGTGTGGATCACAAGTGTAGATGTTTGGGAGTGTCCCGAGTGCTGTACAATGTTCTTAATTGTGTGGATCACAAGTGCAGATGTTTGAAGTTTATGGCCTTTACAATAATCATAGGACTGCTCAGCATATTGGTAGATGTTTGTCATTTTACAAGTTTGTTGTGTTTCATTTTATTCATCTTCTTCTTCTTAGTGTTCACTATCTGTGAACTCCAGCAGAAACCTCTTGTTGTTCGTCCACTTCTGGATTTTGGTCACAAGGGAAAACCCAGTGCAAAGAAGTCTATCCTCTCACCTTTAACCCTTACCTTTATTAGAGTTATTTGCAAGATATTTCTGCAAGATATTTCTGCAACCTCTTTATTGTTATTATTTGTTTTTTAAAACAGGATTATGAAGGTGCCCTCATTATTTACAACTCTTTGTTGGAGAAGGAGCAGAACACCCGCCTGGAATTGTTGGCTGGTATTGGAAGGATACATCTACAGGTATGCTTCTCACCAGTATTTTTTTTAGCCCTTTAGCGATTGAACAGTGCTGAGGCACAGATAGATCATTACGGTCTGAAGAGAATGGCACTGCGAGGAGTTACTAGGGGATCTGGCTGACGCTCGACACTCAGGGAAAAGGCGAGACGTATTTACAATCGGTGCCATTGGAATTGAAACTCTTCGCTTGCTGCTGAAGATGGGGATGGAGTACTTATGGGGTGCCCCGAGTGCTGTGATGTTGATTTTTAATTCAACATTCAACCAGTATTGTTTTCCTAGGGTATGCAGAAGTGTTGAGAAATGAACAGACAGACAGACTGGATGGATCTGCACCAATGGATGGGTAGTAAATTTATGCATGACAAGCTAGATGTGGTCAAGACCCTTTAGGAGCAAGTGAACAATGAGGAGGCACGATTAGATCGTTATGGTCTGGAGAGAAAGGTATAGTAGCTAGGAGTGACCAGGGACTCTGATCGACACTCTACAGTAAGAGGAAAAACAAGAGTGCAGATTGCTGCTTGCACCTTTGGAATTTGAACTATTTGCTGGCTGTTGAAGATGAGGACGCAGCGCGGAGTGCTGTGATGTCAGTTCTTAGCTCAAGACCCTGCTTTTTACCAGTGTTGGTTCCTGTATGGGTTTCGGGGACCCATTTTGATGGATTTTAGACCTATCTCTTCCTAGCAAGCATATCACACAAGACGACTAATTAGGGTCTTGTTGAAATAGAATGTGTTGGCCAGACAGTGCGGCTTTCGCAGCCACAGGTGGACAATTCTGTTATTTATCCACTTCCGGACTTTGGTCTTGTTCCAGAACTTGAGTTTTGCATGCACATCCATTTTACAGTCTGGCTTATTTGTGTGCATTCTGTTGGTTCCTTGCCTCTCAGGCAGATGTGCTTTGACTTCGAAGAAAACACCCATAATTAGTTACCACAATTAGTCAAGCATTGTATTAGACATGCTTGGGTCTAGCACCGAATGTCTAATTTGCTTATGGGCATGAGAAAGGTCCTTCATCTTTACTTAGCTCCTGCTTTACTAAACACCTTCTTCTTCGCCTCTTCTTTTACCGCTTTGGGAAGTCGAGGGAGATACAGAGTTCTGCTTCTAGCTCTTCTAGCCCGTCTCAACCACAGACGCATTGTAATATTGTAGAGTTTTTCTGTTATCTTTCCACCTTGTTCTTGATCTACCTCGTGCTATGTCTCCTTCTCCTTTTTTTAGTGTCTGCACTATATGGTATGGTGTCACATGGCATTCTCTCTTGAGTGGGCAAACCGTCTGATTTGCTTCTTTATATGTAACTAGCTGTACCCGGCCAAGCGTTGCTGTGGCCCAGAATGGTGAAATGGAGAGGAAAGAAAATAGCTCTCAGCTAACAGTGTCTGTCATCTCCTTTCCCCTCGACCCAGTCATATCTCCCTTTCCAAAGGATTGAAAAATAATCCATGGCGAAATTTTAAAAATAGAAATAGTTAAGAAATGAGAACTGTGAAATAATATTTTATGCTCTCTCAGCTAACTGTGTCTGGCTCCACCAATCATATCTCCCTCTCCGAAGGATTAAAAAAATTATCACCTGGCGAAATTATTAAAATAGAAATAGTTAATAAATGAGAAAATAAAATAATGTTTTAAGCTCTCTCAGTTAACAGTGTCTGGTATCAAACATCCACCCCCTACCCCCCCCCCCCCCCCCCCCCACCCACTAATCATATCAATCTCTCTGAAGGATGGTTGAAAAATCATCACCTTGCGGAATTAATGAAATAAATATAGTTGAGGAATGAGAACTTTAAAACAATGTTTTGAGCTCTCTTAGTTAACAGTGTCTGGCATCAACCCCCTAACACCCCCCCCCCCCCCCCCCCCAGTAATCATATCATCCTCTCCGAAGGATGGGAAAGTCACCAAGTGACAAAATAGTGTAACTAAATTGAGCTTGGCATCCGTGTCCACCCAGACTTAAATATGTAGCATTAATTTGTACTGAGAAGTAAATGTGGCCAGTGTAACAGCTACCACATCACCCATCCAGTACCAGTACTACTGCAACCATTACCACTACAACCATCACAATAACAACAACAACAACAAAAACTGTCACTACAATCTGTGTAGGTCAGTGTAGAAAAGAGGAGTTAGCGCTGCATGCTGTCGCCACGGACTATTTAGTTTAATTTGGCCCCCGACATAGGAAAAAAACTTCATCACGTAACCAGTGATGGAACCCACAGTGAAAAGTACACTATACTCACGAATAGCGGAGAAAAATACCCCGCACCCATCATCATCTCTCCCTCTCCGAGGGAAAGATTTTTAACTGACCTTGGCATCCGTGTCCACCCAAACTAAACTGGACTATAAGCCATCTTAGTTTCTTAGTTAACAGTTTCTGTCATCGCCGAATATTTGTTGATCGAGAAGCGTTGCAGGGAGGCTAATTAGGACCTAACTGAAATCAGATATCTTTGGGCGAAAGGCACAGATATCGCAGCCTAGCTGTAAACCACATCACAACGTGGCAACCACCCTTTTAAGGGAAAAAGAACAGCGGGCAATCGAACACTGGTCACCTGCGTGAAGGATGACATACAACTATACTACCGATGACTGAAGAGTTTTAGGTTAGATATCGCAGCCTAGCTGTAAACCACAACACAACGTGCCAATGACCCTCTCGAGGGCGAACAAAGATTTCCTGTGACATGACCACTGAGCATCACGTCGCTGCTGTCGCAGGCTAGCTGTAAACCCCAAAACCGAAAAAGGCGTAGATGTTGCAGCCTAGCCATAAACCACAACACAACATGCCAGTTTATGGCTAAAAAAATTATATCACCGAGCTGTGAATCGAACGCGGGTCACCTGCATGATAGGCAGAATAGTTAACAACTACGCTACCAAACACTCAAGCAAATAGTGGAAATGAAAATATAAAATAATGCAAAGTTCAATAAGAGCTCAGCCGTCAAATATAGCCGATCACATAAAAACAAATCGGGCCGGCAACGAAACAAATAATGATTTGGCCGTTGCTGGAGCTACGTCGTTCGTGGTTTGTGCGATTTTCTGACAAAAAAATCACGCTTGGAGTCAAAGGCAACGTTGTGTGCGAATTTGAAAGCAATCGGTTCAGTAGTTTCCGAGTTTTTAGCTTACATCATCGGAAAATTAACATTTTTATTAATATAGATTTAGAATTGGTTCTTTGCCAGCTTTGTCTGTAATGACCTCATTCCTGATTTTTTTTTTCATTTCCGGTCCCTCCTGCAGCCCTTCTCAGATAATGTTTTACTTAATATTATTGTTATTTCTTGCCATCAAAGTATTTGGAAGTAGGGAATCTATTTTTGTGCCAGAGCTGACTGTTGTTAACTGAACTATTTTTGCCATATCAAGCACCACAGTGGATTAGAAAGGACAGTAGCAGAGGGTATAGTACCAGAAAAGAGAGGGGCAGGAGCCAAACAGCATGAAGATGGGCACAGGATTTTAGTGACTCCTTAGATAGGAAAAAGGATGAGTTGGAAGAGGTGGTAAAAAATCAGGTTTATTTTTGTAATGAGAGCAACTTTCTGTGAAAGGCCTGCTCATAATGATATTGATACCAGCTTTAGATGTTATTCTTGTTTGTTACAGATGGGCAACATAACAGAAGCAACACGTATAATGAAAGAGGTTGAAGAAGCCACAAAAACGGATGGCTCTTTGTCGTGCTATAATCTTATCAGCAGGTGCGTTCAGGCTTTCACTGAGATATTTCTGCGGCACATTTAGTTTAAAGCTTACAGAACTGTTGCCATTGCTTCTGGGGATATATATATAAGTGCTTAGTCTCCTTGTGTGCAGCTCCGTGACTTAGAGGTGGGAGATAAGATTGTTCCCCATGTGAGTTCCAAAGTCCCATTGGAGAGGGGGGGGGGGGGGGGGTATTGACCCACTGCCTTCCTAACAAGTATGTCATAATTAGCGACTGATTAGGAGTGTTTCCTTGTAAGTCGAAGTGCATCTGCCTGAGATGCGAGGAACCAACAGTCTGCATATAAACAAGCGAGATCTTAAAATCGATGTGCATGCAAAACTCATGTTCTGAAACAAGACCCAAAGTCCTGATGTGGATGTACAACCAGAACTTTCCACCGAAGCTTACAGCTGGTGAATGCTAAGAAGAAGAAGAAGAAGTAAAAATTGTCTGTTTGCTTTCATCCTTGACATTTGTGCTGTGTGGTTGAGCTGTAGCAGACCTGCCTGCCAAAGTGAGTGTCTGCGGACATGGCGAGACACAATGCTACACTATTTAGTCTGGACGAATCAACGGAATATGCATGCATGTTTGCCATTCATGTGCCGTTGCAAGCTACAGCCTTCTACATCTGTGTTTTCCATGTCTATCCCCTGAAAACTTTTATTACTACCTGAGTATTTCCATGCATACATACACACATGCTTCTTCTTCTTTTTTCTGCATTTGCTCTTAACAGGGCAGCTGGCATGTTGTGTTGTGGTTTACAGCTAGGCTACCAAATCTGAGCCTTTTGGCCCAACACATCTAGTTTCATCAAAGCCCTAATTAGTCATCTTGTATGACATACTTCTTGGGGCCAGTAAGTCTATTATTTTTTCCCCCCAAATGGGACCCTAGAACTCACAAAGGGAACACACATGCCAAAAAAAAAATATCTTTCTTGGTACAAGATCTGATGGCCGGGACTCTT